AGCCGAAGGCAGACCCTTAACGACTGAGCCACCCAGGGGCCCCTAATTTGTGAATTTTAAAACATTTAGCTCCCAAAGGCAATTACTGTATTTACTTCATGTTCAAATCCTAATTATTGAAAAAGTTCTCTTTCCTTATATACCTTTCAAGTTTAGAATTTGAGACAAGTTAGGTATATACAACTAGAAAATTTACTCCCCTTACTGATATACTGGATTGGGGATTCCTTAAAACTACCACTAGTCAGTATGATCTGAATATTTCTGATTTCCAAAAGGAGAATACTGGAAGCCCAGAAAGGACTTGCCAAGGTCAGGATTAATCAATCTAGGACTTCTCCCTTTTAGCTCAATTTTTTTTTCCCTTTAGATTACAGTACCTTCTAAAAATGTTCTATTTGCAGGCTGTTCTCTTATTTGCCAAAAACAATCTTAGATCTTAAATTTGCACTTATTGTCAGTGACATGGAAATGTTTGAATGTTCAATTTTTTTAACAGTTGCTTATTCCCAGTAACTGATTACTGACTGAAACAAGGAGGTACAAAAGACTGGCTTTATATCTTTGTTTTCCCCAGCATGGTATCAGGACACAGTAGGCATTCAGTTATTTATTAGATGAATATTATTGCCCTCATCTCTATTCTGCTTCATTGAAGATTTGTTCTTAATTAAAAGACAGGGCAGTATGGTTACATGCCTTATCAAAATTTAAAATGTTTCCCTCAGGTTGTGACTCTACTAGGCAAAATGGAACGTCTTCGAAGCTCTCCCCTTCATGCCAATATCTCTACTGCTCTTGATAGACACCTGGAGTCCATTCACATTGTACAGTCACGTAGAAAGGATGAAATTGTTAATGCTTCAAATCGGCAAAGGCAAGGAGTTCCTAGATGCCAAGATGACAGAGGTATAAGCGGTAATGCATATTCTTTTGATAAGGCAGTGAGATCATTTGAATGTTGTTAAAATCAGATTCTGAAGTTAAAAGGTTGGATTTCTAAAATTTACATTTAGCTAAAGAATAAATTGGTAAATGATGCCCAAATAATTTACTCTAAAAGTACTTTGATCAGTTTTGTTAATTTTACCCATTTAATTATAACTCTGTCAAAGTCTGTGTTCTACCCAAAGCATAGTCATTGTACTGTCAGAAATACAGTATCAACAATTTTAAATATTAAGTCAAATACTTTAACCCACTCAGTCAATAGCCATCCTTCTTTTATAAAAATAATGTTTGATAATTTAATAGTACAACATTGGGCTTTTTTAAGAGTTAAGGAATATATAAAAGGTATCTAATATGAACTGACCCTGAATGGTTTTTTTACAGATGTTTTTGCTCTTGCTTCAGCAATTAAAGAGATGTGTGTGGCTACTCGGAAAGCACGCACTACCCTGTGGTGTGCACTGCAGATGACCTTGCCAAAAACAGCCAGTACAGCTGGCCAAACAGATGTGGAAAAGGCTTTACAAGATATAGTAAACTGTGAGGATAAAGTCCATGAAAACATAAATAGTAGCAATCCAATGAACCAGAGAGGTGAAGCAAACAAACATTAAGGAAATGCCAGCAGAAAGAAGAATAAAAAGCTGATAAGTAAATGTATCAAGACATGCTAAAAAATTTTAATGAACTTGTCAAACTTGAAAATTTCAATACATTAATTTTCTTTCAGATTTAAAGTTAATACCTTAATGAAGTCTAACTTCTATTTAAAAATCTTCTATTTGGAATGAATCAGATATAGTTTAAAGTGAACTCAAAGGGAAAGTTGACTACTCTAGGAGTTCCGAGTAGCCAAAAATAACAAGTTTAAGTAAATTAAATATTTCCTAACAACTAAAATATTGCTTAAGCCCATTCTGCAGTGCAGGTAAATGCGAATGTGAAATTGTTCTAGAAGATAAGTTTCATTTAGGTCTGCCTTAGTAAGTATAATTCCAAATAATGAATCTAAGTGACTGTAACCCAATTATGGCTACAGTCTAGTAACCAAGACAAGTTTTGATTGTGATATAAAAGTGTTTTCCTTACAAAACTGGATACCTAGGAAACAAAGGAAAACAAGGATGAACCCAATATTCATGTAAAAATTTAATATTTAAAATACTACCATATTTATAAATTTGAAATCTTAGTGCCTAAGTATATGGAGGGAAATGCATCTGATTCTCCTAAATTAGTGATAAAAGTGCCAGTGTAAAAACCATGCAAGTTACTGAATATAAAACCTGTTCAAATCATTTGTGTATATTCTTTAAAATTTAATTATACTATCAATTATTACATATTTCCAATTTTAAAGTATTTAAACTGAATCAAAAACAAATTTCCTTTATCTGGATCTTTTAGAGTTGATGCACAGTAACTAAAATAATGACTATTGTTTTAATACCCTTAGTTTGCTGCATTTTATGAGGGTATCACGAAGTTCTAAAATGTATTTTTTTAAGGTTAATCTTTAGTTTAGTTTGCAATTGGTTAGTGTATATTTTGTGTAGTTGTGTTCATTAGTTTGCTTCTGTATTTTTTTAAAAAGCTTTTGAAAGCTTGGCTTTTTGTTTCTCATCACTTAATATCTTTGTATGAAACCCGAGTAATTTATTCATTAATATGAAATGTTGGTATTATGTGACTCAGAAGATCTTGGGTTTTAACATTTCTCCATGAGTTAAACTATAATATAATGTACTGATGAAATTTAATTGAACTATCCTTGACTAGAAACACTGATGTTTTAAATGTTGGTGTTTTTCCTAGTTTTAGAAATCTTGGTATTAAAGAGTATAATCACACCACATAAATTTTCTTTAGATGATGTGCGGAAGAAACTGATTGAGAATGCAGGAGTAACTGTAGGGAGAAACATTTTGATCACTGATACGCTTTAGAACTACCCAAATGAATTACATTGAGGGTAGTCAAATAAAATAGATCACCCCACCACACTCACTGCATAGAAAGTGGTTAAGTTTGACATAAGACATGTTGGATGTTTTGAAAACAAATACTGTACTGAATTTAGTCTCTCAGGAAAAAATAAATTACTTTGTTGAAAATATTTGGTTTCTTTTTTTTACATCTTTGTATTAGTTTCTAACCTTAAGTGTCACGAAAGGTCAGAAAACCAAATTTCATTTCACTGGCACTGAGTTTTAAATTTCATTAACATTTAGGGGCACCTGGGTGGCTCAGATGGTTAAGCGTCTGCCTTCGGCTCAGGTCATGATCCCAGGGTCCTGGGATCGAGTCCCGCATCGGGCTCCCTGCTAGGCGGGGAGCCTGCTTCTCCCTCTGCCTCTGCCTCTCTCTCTCTCTCTGACTTTCATGAATGAGTGAATAAAACATTTAAAAAAAAAAAAAAAGATTTATAAATTTCATTAACATTTAAGTAAGAATGTTGGTAGACAAACCAATGCCATTCAGATATCCTTGCATCGAGCCTGACCTCCTTCAAAGATGTGTTTTATTTTGTTTTTTTTAAGATTTTATTTATTTGACAGAGGGAGACACAGCGAGAGAGGGAACACAAGCAGGGTGAGTGGGAGAGGGAGAAGCAGGCTTCCCGCTGAGCAGGGAGCCCGATGTGGGGCTTGATCCCAGGACTCTAGGATCGTGACCTGAGCCGAAGGCAGACGCTTAACGACTGAGCCACCCAGGCGCCTGGTTTTTTTTTTTTTAAGATTTTATTTATTTGAGGGCAAGTTGGGCGAGAGAGCATAAGTGGAGAGGCAGAGGGAGAAGCAGACTCCCCGCCGAGTAGGGAGCCAGAGACCTGGAGATCATGACCTGAGCCAAAGGCAGACGCTTAACTGACTGAGCCACCCAGGCACCCCAAAGATGAAGTTTTTGCTCTGCCTTTATACTAACCAAGACAAACCAGATTAAAATTCTGGGGAAGTTTTAACATGACAGTGGTCAGAAATAAAACACTAGTCCATTAACAAAAACCAAACACAAAAATTCTTTGAAATTCTGTTAATCACATCACCCTGCAAATAATTCTCATATTAGTTGGTTATCCCTTTCTATGGTATACTCTCTAATGGATGGTTCCTATGTATTGTACTTCTGAATTACAACCTATGAGGAACAAAAAATATCACATATAATTTGTAGTGAAACTGATAAAAGATGCTCATCATTTCTAATCCAAAAGAATTTGGTGTATTCAATTTTTTTAAATAGACAAGGTGATTTATATAAAAGTTAAAAATTATCTTGAATTATATCAGCATCCTTACCACTTGAATATCTGCTACCATTAAGTTTTAGAGTGTTGGGAATTAATGACTGCAATCCCAATTTTGGACTAAAATGTCAATCATACTACAGAAGATATGGCTGTTTAAAATTTGCCCTTTACAATACTGAACATTTTAGACATAAAGGATTTATCAGCATCTGAATTAAGTGAATAACCTTACTCAAAGCCTAATGAGCTGATCCTTTTTTCCCATTTAAACATTAGTTCAAGGGGCGCCTGGGTGGCTCAGTCGTTAAGTGTCTGCCTCCAGCTCATGTCATGATCCCAGGGTCCTGCTTCTCCCTCTCCCACTCCCCCTGCTGTGTTCCCTCTCTCACTGTCTGTCAAATAAATAAATAAAATCTTAAAAAAAATGAACAGTAGTTCAAGTATACACCTAACTGTAACATAAGAGAGTCCCAGAAGAACTGGCTACTGTTATAACAGACTATAACAAGTACCCTTCAGGGGCTCATGGATATAACCTGGCTCTGCTTCAGAGACCAAAATCAAGGTGAAAATAAACTAAAAATCCAAAATGAGGGTTAATAAAATAGGCTCTCTCATAAATTATCTGTAGCCACAGCTTATTATTGCTACTGCCGTAGAAGACTAAGACTCCAAAAGGACTGCAAGGACTTCAAAGCCAATTTACTGACTTCCAATAAAACAAGGTAATCTTTCTGATTTCCTAATACCCAACTTCACAGGAAAATTGAGGCAGAGAATTTGATTCTAGGAAGAGGTTCTACTAATACAGCATATTGGGCTAATCAAAATACAAAGCAAAATTCAACACATTCCTAAGTGTTCACACAATTCATTTCCATGGATAGCTGGAAGGAATCAATCAATCAGAAAACAGTGATTTAAATAGTTTATTTTTTTTTAAAAGATGGTTACTTTTTTAAAATGCAATGCCACGGTTATAGGAGTGTATAGAGGTGACACATCTTTTCCTTAACCATGCTTTTTACCTTCTGCACAAAGGTAAAAATTTTTTGTTAACCTCTTAGTTAATGGTATAAAACAAGTCAGCAAACTTTTTCTCTGAAGGGCCAGACAGTAAATATTTTAGGTTTCACAGGCCACAAAAGGTCTCTGTCACATACTCCTTCTTTTACAACCCTTTAAAAATGCAAAATCCCTTGCTGACTTGCACCATACAAAAACAAACCGCGCCAAATCTCCTAGCCTGCAGTAGTTTGCCAACCTCAGGTATAAAATACCTATTTTCTGTCTTGTCAGGGAGATTGCTCCCTTCGGGCTTCCTGACAAGTCTGCTGCCAGAAGTAGAGAAAGGCCTTATTTACAATTGAATGTGGCTTGTGACAAAAGTAGAAATGGAGAGTTCCTGCTCACTTTTGACTCTCCCAGGTTTTTCCACTCATTAAATTTGTTGAGTACACACAATGTACACTCTTAAATATCTTTGTGTTAGCAGAGATTTCCAGTGTTTCTTCCTTAGACGCATGGTTCCTGCAGTTTCTTCCAAACTGTAATTATCACATCTTTATACTCATGTTTTAGGGCAGATCAGGATTAAAATCTCTACTAGCAGTCAAGAGGGCTCATGATTATAAAAAGTGAATCTAGCTATCAATGATATCCTTCCACCCAATACACATCCTTCTTCAAAATCACAGCCTGTATGAGGAAAAATATGTAACTATCTCTACTTAAAAAGATACTTCTTTTCCTCCCATAGGCTGAAACTTAAAAAAAAATCTCAAATCTAGAACATCTACCACATCATTTCTTCCATTTTCATAGTTTGTTGCCATGTTGACATAATATCTGGATCCAGGTAGGCTCTTCATTAGCTTTCTATTTCATCCATAAAACAATACAGTAAGAGGTAACTACTACTTTCAAAGTACTTTATGCTCCCACATTTCACCTCAGAAAAGGAGTGGTCATGATTCTGCTCCTTCAGGATGAAAACTGTAACTGTCTGCTTTCTGAATACTTCTGTTATTTATCCTAGGTGAGGGAAGACTTCTAAAGTGGCCAAAAGGAGCCAGGACTTCAGTATTAAAATATAAAAGTTGCCCCCATTCCAGATCTTTGGTACAGACATCAACCACAATAATCTGATTACCCACACCACAGAGACATGGCACATTTTGTAATTAGAAGTGTTTGTGATTTTCCTTTTGACCATGTAAACAAAAGGGAAATGCCTTGGGAAACCACTCTGCAATGTTCTCTCACTTCTCTTAAATACACATGTGCACAATCACTTCTCCCTTTGATCAAGTCCATGAGGAGAAAGAACAGAGTGGACCAAGGTTATCGCTTCCGCTCCCCTCT